CAGGGTACCTTCGTGGTACTAGATGATAAATTAAATTACTAGTCTCTTCCTGCTCATAATGGTGAATTTCAGTAGCATTCAGATTTATTCTAGTGTTAAAGATGCAGTAATAATAATCCACATTGGATTGCTACGCTGACCTGGGTCATTACTTAATCCTCTCTGATACTTAGTTTGCTCATCAAAATGGGGATAACATACCTATTTCTTAAAGTACTGTGTATTAAGAGAACTAATTTTACAAAGACTTTGTTCCAGAACACAGAAAAGCACTTAGTTAAAAATGTGATGATGTACATGATGTTACATGCAACTCATGCTAGAACTGGAAAATCCTTGTTTGGGATAGGAGCCCTGGTATCATAGTGGTTACGCATTGGGCTGCTAACCACAAGGTCAGCAGTTTGAAACCACCAGCCACTCTGGGGGAGAAAGATAAGACTTCTACTTGTGCAAAGAATTAACAATCTCAAAAATCCTCAGAGGCAGCCCTGCCTGGCCCTCTCGGGTCGTTTGGAGTCAGAATTGACTTGATGGCAGTGAGTTGGGTTTTTCAGATAGAAGTCACTTAGAGGGTGTGTTGGAAGCTCCCAGCGCAGGTCAGTCCTGAAGCTGTGGCAATACTGACATTAAGCACGGCCAGAATCAATGCACGTGGGTCATTTCTTTGCATTGTGCTCAGTCGCCGGTAGCTGACATTTTCTAGCCTCTGGGTTTAATTTGGCCTGACTGCTGCAATCTTTTATTTCTAGGGTTATCACCAGTGTCTTCACCAAGGAAGCCCACCCACCCCGTCATGGATTTCTTCAGCTCACATCTGTTAGATGACTCTTCCTCTCCAGCCTCTGTTTCTAGTCATGCAACCGATCTCCACGAAGTGGTTGTGAATAATTTCCTTATTTCTGATGAAAACCTTCAGAAGATGGAAAATGTACTTGATCTTTGGAGTTCTGGTCTTAAGGTATTACAGTTGTTCAGTGTGTGATTCTACACTTGAAGTCAGTTTTGGTTTTTTACCTTTCTTTTTAATTAAATTTTTTCTTAATCTTTAATATCCTGAGAAGATTAGTCCAGTATCATAAATTGGTGCTGCTTCATCTTTACTGTATGTATGAACCACCTGGGGATTTTATTAAACTGCAGTTTCTCATTCAGTACTTGTTGGTCAGGGTCTAAGATTACACATTTCTAACAAGTAATGCTGTTTGTTCTGGTTTTAAATATTGAACAGCTCTGCATGTTCTCCTGAACTTCTCAGATATTTGGAAAAGCTCAGCTTATTGTGCATCTATTGGACCTTTACCATACCATAGTTAGGACGGGTGGAGTGTTCCTTTAGGTGAAACGTAGGGTCAAGGCTTTTTATTGTTGTTGTTAGGTGCCGTCGAGTCCGTTCCAACCTGCAGCACAACAGAACTAAACTCTGCGAGTCCTGCCCCATCCTCACAATCGTTCCTGTGCCTGAGCCCAGTGTGGCAGCCACGGTGTCACTGCATCTCATTGAGGGCTTCCTCGCTTTCATGGTTGAGGGCCTTTTGCTGCCTCGCTTCCAAGTATGATGTCCTTCAGGGGCTGCTCTCTCCTGATAGCATATCCAAAGTGCATAAGACAAAGTCTCTCTTCCTGGCCTCTAAGGAGCATCTGGCTGTAATGCTTCCAAGACACATTGGTTTATCCCTTTAGCAGTCCGTAGTGCTTTCGATGTCCTTTACCAGCGCAATTCAAATGCAAGAATTCTTCTTCTGTCTTCTTAGTCATTGTCCAACTTTCACATGCATATTGAGCCAATTGAAAACACCATGGTCTGGTGCACCTTGGTCTAAAGATATCTTGTTCATCAGATTTACCCATGCAATGCATCCCTTGACTGTTCCTTCCAAATGCATTGAGTCAAGCAAGACAAAATCCATGACAGTGTCGGTTGTTTCTCCATTTATCATGCTGTTACCTATTGTTCCAGTTATAAGGATTGGTCTTCTTTACATTGAGTTGCAATCCTCAACCTTCAACAGCAAGCAAAGTTATGTCATCTACATATCATAGGCCTTTTTCCAATCTTGATGCCATATTCTTCTTCTTATAATCCAGCTGCTCAGCATACAGAATGAGTAAGTATGGCGAGGGTATACAACTGTGACACACGCCTCCTGGTTTTAAACCATGGAGTATTCTCTTGTTCTGTTCGCACAGCTGCCCTCTTGATTCATATATAAGTTCCGCACTAGCACAATGAAGTGTTCTGGAATTCCTATTTTTCTCAAGGTTACCCATAGTTCATTATGAACTGCATAGTAGGATGTCTTGGCATCGTCAGTGAAAAACAAACATCTTCCTAATACTCTGTGCTTTGAGCCAAGATCCATCTGACATCAGCAGTGATATTGCTTATTCCACATCCTCTTCTGAATCTGGCCTGAACCTCGGGCCGCTTCCTGTCAATGTACTGCCGCAACCATTGTTGGATGATCTCCAGCAAAATTTTGCTTGCGTGTGATACCAATGATATTGTTTTATAACTTGAGCTTTCTTTTGGGTGGCCTTTCTTTGGAATGGCTACAAATACAGTTCTCTTCCAGTCAGTGGGCCAAGGAGCCAGCCAAGTCTTCTAAATGTCCTGCCATAGACAAGTCAGTGCTTCCAGTGCCCTGTCATTTCAATATATACTCATCAATTCTGGGAGCCTTGCTTTTGGCCAGTGCTTTCAGTGCATGAACTTCTTCCTTCAGCACCATTGATTCTTGCTCATATGCTACCTCCTGAAATATGGTGGAATGTTAACTCTGGTGGAATGTTCTTTTTGGTACTGTGACCAATCATTCTTACCATCCTCTTCCACCCCACCCACCACCCCCCACCACCC